GGAAGCGGCGTGTACTGCAGAGTATGTAGCTAGAGCCTGCGGCCCTCCACGCCACATACCCTTCGGGAGGTCTGCCGCAAGGGCGGCTGCGCCCTTGCCGCTAAGGCGTTAAATACAAAACAAACAAACAAACAAACAAACGAAGGTATTCTCATTAAGATGCAGTTGCAGAAAATACTCCGGGACGGTAGGTATTTCGAGTGTTTGACGAACAAATGTGCCGACATCCCTGAGGACGAATTGTGTTTCAGGCACTCTGCCATCGGAAGTTCGATCACAGACTAGAGACCGCAGAAAGGGCATCCAGCTGACTTTCCCATCTGCTCTTCTTGCTCCTAAGTCTTTCTTCTCAACACCAGCCGCAATGACGGGGTCAGCGCAAAGAGCCAATCTTTTTGTAGCTGCTAAATATATGTCCTTCGCCTCTTCGATCATTTGTATGTTAAAACCCAGATGCCTGAGTGGCTGGAGTTGATCCTCATCGGCCAGTACCCAATCTATTCCAAATGTATCTGGCGCACAAGTCGATCGCTTTTAAATTGTGTGGAGCGTATCGACGATTCTGCCCTTCACATTAAGAACTGTCTCTTCGTTAGATGTCCATAACTCCATGGGCAAGCCTGCACTGGCGTTGAACTTGACACGATTCTTCATTCCAGTCAGGCTAGTCTGAGGATCAAGCCGTTCAAAGTCCGGTACCCATGACGGCGAAGAGTACTGGCTTCCGGACTGATCTGAGCTGCAGCCGAGAGTTCGGAGGCTATTGTTGTGGAAAATGTCCCGGAGCACGAAATTGCGGAATACATCCCCTGGCGAGAGGGAGGAGTTTTGTGCGAGGTACTTGCTTCCTATATCCTGGCTTGTCACACCAAGCAGGCTGAAGATCCTGTCTTCAGGTTTTGTACACGAGAATGAGCGGGTCTCGACGATCAAGTCGAGCAACTCCAGGCTGGTTTGCTGATGAGGCAGGGCAGCAACGCTCGAGTAACGAATTTTTGCTTGGTAATACAAAAAATGCGGCAAAAAGATCAACCATTCGGGACGCAGAGCCGATCGTGCCGAAGTCATCAGGAATATACCCGAGACGATCCTATCAATCGACTTAAAGGCGGGAATTTTCGTGCGGTAGGTATGTTCGAAAGTCATATCCTGGATATACTTCTGGAACACCGCCCAAGGAATGGACTGGTCACCACAGATAAATTGAGCACGCTTAGCTAACGCAGCCTCCTGGAACACCCAAGTACGTTGAAACCAAGGGCGGCGGAGCAGATTAATGACCGGATCGACGTCCTTTGATATGCTGGAGCTCCAACTGTACGCGGGCATACATTTTAGGACGCCTTTCACAGAGGAGTCCATCTTGCCGAGATAGATGAGCACTTGTGAGGCCTGAGAGTAGATATCGCCCATGAGCTTTATCTGGGTTGTTTTCTCCTCGTCATCAGACTGGTTAATGCAGAGCCGGTCCGTCCAGAGGATACGCTCACGGTCTGGAAGCCGCAAGTCGGACAAGGCATCGTGGAGGTTGACATGAATGGTCTCGGTGCGTCCCGAGCAGGTCAATGAACGAGTGACGGTTCCATCTCCCCAGACATATGACAAGGCCTCGTATCTGGTTCTCCAGCACAGTTGTGCGTGAATAAGGTGACATTTGAGTTCGTCGCCAGGCGCTCCTGGCTCGAGGACAAGCAGTCGAATTTCCTTTTCCTGCGAGATTGGTTTGTATATCGTCTCATCGGCGCAATCCGGAGGCTCAACTAGCTTCGGTGGAATCACACGAAAAATCGTGGAGTCGGCAAAGGCACCAAAGACGCCACGATCTCTGCGTGGCTCGTACCAAAATGGAATGAAGAGGGCGAGCGCAATGTAAGCTAGGAGCACTCTCTTGAGCCTTTTTTTTTTTTTGGATGCGGAGCCGCATCTGGTCCGGCGTGGGTGGATTGGCGTGCCTGAGTGGTTTCGTTCTTGTAAAAGATTTTGTTAGCGAGTACTTTTCTGGAACGAGCGTCGTCGGTTTTCGGTAATGATGGCTCAGTAGACAATGGTCGTAACAACGGGTAAAGCGCTTTTCGGCCAATGCCTCGCAAAGACTGTGATTGGCTTACGAGTATGAGCCTCTGCCTCAGCATGACGGAGAAATGAAGATGTCGTAGGAATAAACCCGGCACCGGGAGCTTACGAGAAAGGTGAGGAAAAGAAATCCATAAAGGGCAGCAGGCTACTGAAGTACTCCAAGATCCCATGCTTCTCAGTCTATCTTACTCCACTTGATGATAGCCGTAACGAGTACTGGGAAGCGTAAGCCTTCCAGGCGCCCACAATAAGCTGCATGACTGCCGCCCATCAGATTGAAATTCTTGTTGAAATGCCTGCTCGTGCAGCCCAGCTTGCCTATGTGGGGCCTCCATCCCTGAGCCGAAGCCATCCTATTGGCCGGATCCCCTTCACGCCCCTACAGCGCATACAGCGCGCACAGCGCGCTTGAATCGGGCACGTAATGTAAGGTTTTAATCCGGTGCGCAATGAGACTTAATTGAGTAATACTAGGACTTCAATCGGGCGCGATGAAGGCGTGGATTAAGCATAGTACAGTAAGTAGCCTGCCGGATTGCCCGGCTAGTACGCCGACAGGCACTCGGCCCCGGGCCGGCAGGGCCCCGTGTAGGCAGGATAGCCAAGCTGCACAAGCAATTTAACCCGAGTTTTCAAGTTATACTTACAGCACCCCAGAAATTCTGGGAATGCTTCTCTTCGCAGGCGGCGCGTAGTAAGCTTGCTCGATGAACATAAGGGGCAACGACATTGACCTTCGCTCCATGTTATTAGGGGCATTCAAAAGCATGCCGACTTTCCCGTAAGGGCCGCCACAACGGAAGTAACACAACACCGGGCTTGTACTAGAAAAAAGTTGCCGCAAGCTTGTATTGGATGGAAATAAGAGCTTATGTATGGTTTAGTAGTATGTGACACTTCCGGGGCAGTTGCGTATTATTATCTGGTGTGCTATTTCAATTATCAATCATGGATGAGCTGTTTTAAAATCTGACTACATATCACCCATCCTCCTCGGCGGAACCTTCGCAGCGAAGAGACGATCAATCTCGTCAAACGTCTTTCCCTTGAGTTCGGGAACGTAAAAGAAGCTTCCGATAGTACCGAGTAAGGCAAGCCCTCCGAAGATAAAGCCAACCTTTCCTTTGAGGTTTGCCTCGTCTGGGTATGGTTAGCAAAAGGAACACTTGCGCAAGAGCAGAAACATATGCTTACCCGGATTGACAAGATAAGGGATGGAGAAGTTCATGATGAGGCCACAGACAGCCTGGGTCGCGGTCGCCAACGCGATGGTCTTGGCTCGCATCACCGTGCTCGAAGCCTCACCGAGAATAGCGAATGCCATCGCACCGACAGTCAGAAAGTAGACGAAGGCGTAGATGACAGTGCACGCGGCCTGCACCCACTTCGCAGCATCCGTAGGCACGACGTCCATGATGCCGATAACGAGGAGGAGCAGGGTCAGGGAGGCCATGCCGGACAAGAACACCTTGCGGCGGCCGCAGGACTCGACGACGAACCAGCTGACTATGTTTCCAAGGACACCGCAAGCTGTCACGCCAACACCGAGGTCGAAGGATTTGGAGACGTTGAGGCCGGCGAGCTGGAAGAAGTAGGTGGAGTATCCTAGGACAAAGACCTGAAGGAGTACCCGTTAGCAGCTAGCCCAAATTTCTTTTTGGATGTGTAGGACTTACGATGCCGACCAGGTGTTGGCAGAGGAAGACACCAGTAGAGATACCAGTTCGGAGGCGGTTCGTTCCCTTGAAGCAGTCCATGAAACCCAACTCCGAAGACTTATTCAGCGCCTCCTCTTCAATAGTTGCCATGATCCCCGCAAGCTTAGAGTCGACATCATATCCCGTGCCATACAGCTTCTGCAACGACTTCTTGGCTTGTTCCAACTTGTTCTTTCGGGCCAGGTACCACGGCGTCTCGGGGGCGAATGGGAGAAAGACGATCAGGAACAACGCGAAGAAGAGCTGCGTGGCGAAAGGACCACGGTAAGCCCAGCGATCAGAGCGTTCTCCAAAGGCCTTGACGACCGCGTTCGAGAGGAGCTGACCAAGAGCAATGCCCAAGTTGACGCCAGCCGTAGCAAAACCACGGAGAGCCACGGGGGCGAGCTCACTGCATGCCAGGGGGGCGAGAGTGAGGTAGAAGCCGAGGCCTGCGCCGAAGATGAGCTTGGAGGCAAGGAAGGCGCCCCGGGTATCTGAGAGGATCTCTCCGACACAGCCGCCGCTGCAGACAACGATGCCGATGAGGAGGGAGTTCTTTCGTCCGATCTTGTCGGCCATGTAACTGCAGAGGAAGCCGCCGAAGAATTGGCCGACGGTGGAGATGACGTTGAAGGCGGATTGCCAGTCGGCTGGGAGGATTGCTTCGCCATTCTCGACGTATCTGATGAAGCTACCATTAGCTCTTTGTCTTTGCTATAATCACACTATGTGTTTGATGGTGCTGGTTGCGTACCCGAAGTCGCGGCGGAAAGACGCGACGGAAATCATTGCTCCGTTGATCTGGGCGTCGAAACCCCTGAATTGGTGCTTCTGTCAGTCCTCATGTCTCTTCTGTAAGTATTGTAATACCAAGTTCGTACCATCCAATAGCGGCCATAGCCCAGTAAAAACACCACCAGACGATGATCTTGTGGTTCTTGAAGACATCGCGAACTGTAAGGTCGTGTTCCTGTTGATTCGTGGTGGCTGCTGCGTTGTCCTTGGGGTCATGCACATGCGACACACTTGGCTCCAAGTGATCACCAGGACCAGTCTTCTCCATCGTTGCTGTTCTTTGATGCCAGTTGCGGCAGTTGAGATGGAGTTGTGTGACTCTTTGACAGAAAAGGGGGTTCTAGAACTTGGAGAGAGGCCGGAGGAGGTTGACAGGGCGGTGGGGAATGAACAGGGCGATCATGTCAAAAAGTCCGGGGAAGTCTTTGAGATTATATCCAAGTCCGGCTCATTGTTTCCGGCTGTCAGGTTACTGGACTTGCCGACTCGTCATGGTTGCTTGCATGGGTGCAAGTCGGCATGCAAGTTGGTTACCAACTGAGGTCATCCTGACCGTCGTTGCTTGCTCGATTCTAGCTAGCAAAAACACGAATAAGTGCGACACTCCGCGGACTCTTCAAGGGAAACTAGGCCGGTGCTAGTCAGGTCTGGCCAAGGGTTCGCTCAGCTCAAAGGTCAGTCGACGCGAGTCCGCGTTTGGCCGAGGTGCAAATTCCGAGCGTGTGGAACGATTCCAGCGTGTGGTGCCCCGCAAATTTCCCCGCGATCCAGTCTCGGATTAGCGTCTTTAGGCGCCTTTTTCTAGGCCTTGAAGAAGGATGTCTTTTCTCGAGCGATATTCCGCGACGTTTTCCCCATGTTTTTCTTTCTCCAGCTTCCACATCACTCACCCATCCCGTGTCTGTTGCAGCAACCAACGAAACCGACGGCTTTCCCCACAGAGTCGAACTATAGCAACCCGTCTGTTTCCCCCAGTTTATCTGTTACCTGATGGCTGACCCATCTCCCCCGGAAAATCACGTGTCGTTAGCGCCTGAAGAGTCGGTTCCAGACCGGAGCCAGCCGGAATCATCAACGAAGGCCAACACCCGTCCATCGGCTAGGGGAACGGCATTCTACCAACGGAAGAGAGCTGTAAGGGCATGCCAAGTGTGCCGAGCTCGAAGGACGAAATGCGACAATCTGAAGCCATCATGCTCGTTCTGCCTCAAGGTCGGGGCGACTTGCATACAGTCGCCCGTCGACTTGTCCAGCTTCGATCCAGCAAGTCTGAAGATCTTAGAAAGACTGGATGATTTGGAGGAGTTGATGAGATCGGTCTCGGTTGAAGGGTCTTCATACAAGACGAGGGTCGTCGAGGCCCCGGCCGAGCCACGTCTCGAAATACCGCCGCCGATGGGGCATCCAATTCAGCTTGGCATGATTATTCCCCCTGGCCCGGAAGAGGTCATGTCGTGGCAAGTATTCCAGACAATGAGGAGAGAGGCCGCAGAAAACGACGGTGTGCTACATGTCGATCACCCGACCGCCGCTGCGAGCTCTCCAGCCTCAGTGCTGGGCGCACTAGACATGGAGCCAAGAAGGGTCAACGATCTGCTCGATAGCTTCTTCAGCTACGCCCATGTCAAGAACCCGATTCTCGATGAGACCGCAACGAGAAAGATGGTTTCAACCACAATCATGAACGGCATCGACTGGTCTGCCGAGTCCTGCCTGTCTCTCTTGATTTTCGCGTTAGGGTCCATCGCAACACCCTTCGGCCCGAGTCACGAGACCATGCCCGGGACCCTGGCTCACGGCAACGCTCAATCGTTCTTCCAGGCGGCTCAGAAGAGACTCGGGATCTTGTTGTCTTCGGACGACATCATTGCGGCTCAATGCCTCTTCCTGTCAGGGGTTTACATGATGTGCATCTTCCAGCCTGTCAAGGCATGGCGGTACTTCGTGCAGGCGCTCGCCAGCTGCCAGCAACTCCCATTTCTTACCCCTGAATCTCAGCAACGCTATCACAATTATGTCGAGTCGGGCAACGAACTGCACAATTACTCCATCGACACACTCCAGCAAGCCATCTACTGGTCCTCATGGAAGTCCGAGCGGGAGATGAGAGGAGATCTCTATTTACCCGACTTCTCCCTCAGCGACAAGGAGCTCGCGTTCTATCCTCCTTTCTTCCCAACGCCACCGGCGCCAAGGGCAGAGGTTGAGGCTGCTAGTGACCCACGTCTGGCGCGAGAGAGGACCTCGTGGTACTTTTACCTCTCTGAAATATCTCTCCGCAGACTCGCGTCCCGGATTAGCGCCGAGATGGTGGGTCTTCAGAAAGAACATCCCACGCGCCAAGCATACCTCGCAGCCCTGGCCGAGACGGTCCCGCAGTACGAAGAGCAAGCTCGAGGTTGGATCGCGTCACTCACACCCGGCTTATCGTTCAATGAGCCTCCAGAACAGGACGACGTGTGCAGATTCGTGCTTAGAGGACACGCCATCAATCTGTTTGAAAACATCTACTGGCCGTTTGTCACTGCGTATCTCGACAGCCTGGGTGCGAATCCGAGCTGTGTAAGCGGGCCTCTGCCAGACAGTTGCGTTGCGTTTGCGCAAAAAGGTCTTGAAATCCACCTAGAAAGGCTGAGAGTGAACCAGCCAGGATATTATCATCGCCATCATGGAACACTGCCTCTGATGAGATCTTGTTCGCGAAGTGCGCTAGTCCTGATGGCGGCTGCTATCCTCATCGAGACAGGGAAGAGCAATGGCTCCAAGGAAATCTGTCAGATGCCCCCCGGATGGAAGACTGGCGTGGACGGGATCGTTGACCTGCTCGCCTTTTGGCAAGGTGAGGTTCCACAGATGTCAGAGATGCGGAGGCTATTGGGAGAAACACGCGTGCTCACATCCGGTACATCCCCATCGGCATATCATTTAGGATCATAGACAATGGTCCAGATTCACGGGTAAAAGCCCTGAATCACCCCACATAGCAATTCAGCCTAAATAAATCCTCGATCGACGCTCGGCATACGAAGCTTGGAAACGGAGCCGATGTGACCTCTCTAAAGCAACCCGACTGCTGGGTCGAGCATCGGGAGTGAGCTCACTCGGCACGGCTAGGGCCCCCGCCAACTGCCCGCCGTCATCCCCGCCCTCTGTCACGCGCGGGTGTCTGTACCCCAGATCCGGGTTCATCCAGTCTGGCGTCCCGAATAACTGGGGAAAGCGTTCCGGAGGCGACCCACTTCCATCCTCCATCGCGGAATGTCGCAGTTAAGAATCCGAGACTCCTCACCACCTGATGCGCGATGACAAAAGTCCAATGACGCCCTAGGGCCCAATAATCGGGACTGTTTCCCGGCCCGTTGAGCTCGGTGCAATAGCCCGGGTATAAAGGACTCCCCTCAAGAAGATCAAGAGGCTCTGCAGGCCAAACCAAACCTCAGACCACATCCGCAATCATGTCACCCACCACGCCCAACCCCCCCTGCACGATGCTCCGCGTCAGCGGCACCAAGATCGTCAACGAGAATGGCGAAGAAGTCATCCTCAAAGGCGCTGCAACAGGCGGCATGCACAACATGGAGAACTTCATCACAGGCTACACCGGCCACGAGCACGAGCACCGCGAAGCCCTGACAGAGGTCCTCGGCAAGGAGAAGGCCGACTTCTTCTTCTCCCGTCTCCTCCACTACTACTTCACAGAGGCAGATGCCGCCCTCTTCGCATCATTAGGCCTCAACTGCCTGCGCGTGCCCTTTAACTACCGTCATTTCATGGACGACGACAACCCGAGCGTGATCAAGAAGTCCGGCTTCGAGCTGCTCGACCGGGTCGTCAACTTCTGCGCCAAGTACAACATCTACGTCATCCTCGACCTCCACGCCGTACCAGGCGGCCAGAACCAGGACTGGCACAGCGATTCCGGCATCTCAAGGGCGCTGTTCTGGGAGTTCAAGGACTTCCAAGACCGCGCCATCCAGCTCTGGGAGGCCCTCGCCACCCATTACAAGGGCAACAAGGTGATCGCGGGCTACAACCCCCTCAACGAGCCCGCAGACCCCAAGCACACCCGCCTCATCGCGTGGTACGAGCGCGCCGAGAAGGCCATCCGTGCCATCGACCCCGACCACATTCTCTTCCTGGACGGCAACACCTACGCCATGGACTTCTCCGCCTTCAACCCCGAGAAGACGCTTCCCAACAGCGTCTACAGCTGCCACGACTACAGCCTCTACGGCTTCCCCCTCCCCGAGCAGTACGACGGCACCGACGCCCAGAAGCAGAAGCTCCGCGCCAGTCTCAAGCGCAAGGTCGAGTTCATGCAGAAGGCCGGCGTGCCCATCTGGAACGGCGAGTGGGGCCCCGTCTACCAGGACCCCGCGACGGATGCCAACGCCGCCGCGACGAACGAGAAGCGCTTCGCGCTGCTCAAGGGGCAGCTTGAGATCTACCGCGAGTTCGGCGGCATCTCGTGGAGCATCTGGCTGTACAAGGACATCGGCTACCAGGGCATGGTCTACGTCGACCCGGAGAGCCCCTACATGCGCCTCATCCGGCCCTTCGTCGAGAAGAAGCAGCGCCTCGGCCTCGACTTCTGGGGCTGCGCCGACAAGAGCGGCATCGACGACGAGGTGTACGGGCCTTTCATCGCGAAGCTGAAGTCGACGCTGCCGGAGCACCTGCACAAGAAGAAGTACCCAAAGACGTGGACGTTTGACCGCCAGGTCGAGCGCGTGGTGAGGGAGTGCCTGATGAGCGAGTACCACGGCTGGGAGTTTGCGGAGTTGTTTAAGGGGAAGACGGAGGCGGAGTTGGAGGAGCTCGCGGCGAGCTTTGCGTTGGAGAACTGTGTGAAGCGCGACCGGTTGAATGAGATTCTGACGGCGGACGCTGAGAGGGGGAATTGAGGCAAAGGCTAAAGCATGATTATGAAAGTGACGACTAAAGAGGAGAAAGATGGGGCTCTTACGGGAACTTTTGCAGCGGGATGAGCATCCAAGAGAAATGTTGCATGTCGGCTGGGTCGTTGGTGGTGATTTTTCACGTTGGTGGTCTTGGCGGCCATCAGGGTTCTCGGTCTCATACATTGCGCGTACTTCAAATTTTGCAAATTTCAGCCCCATTTCACCACACTCATATCTCACTTAATCTCACAATCACAGACTTGGGAACCGTATTTCTTCCTGTTTGAGGACGGTCGCTTCACTGCCTGTCTTGTTTCGGCCGACGCGTCTCGATTGAGACTAGGACTTCACTCACCCCCACCAGCATCATGAGGTTGTCTCACCCGATCGCGTGGCTACTCACGAGCTTCGCCTGCGAAAGTCTTTGCTCAGAAATTGAGTCTCAGCTACACAGTGCCTTGGTCGATAAGAATGTGGCAGACGTTGTAGAAGGCGATATCGCACAGAAACCGAACCTGGCCTCGGTGAGTCTCCCATTGCAATCCAATCTCGGTGTGTCTCTTGGTGGGGCACACGAAACCATAGCCCACATTTCACTAACATGAAGGGAGACTCCCATTGACTCACTCGTTGAGGTTCACGAAGTGATCGTCACTCTTGAGGACGTCCCGGACAAGCCCAGCCCCCGTCATGAGCAGGAGAAGAAGAATCTCATGAAGCGTTTGAGCAAGTCTCATGGAAAATGGGACACAAACCATCTTCGTCACCGTCTTATGGAAGCGTTGTTCGGTTTCAGCCGTTACAAAGTCAGACAGATGGCAGAACTAAATCGATGGAAAGACCTGTATACCCACGTACCGAAGGCCCAAAAGAAGGTATGTTCCGGCATGTTCCCTATCATGGCAATATGTTACTGACCGGTTGACTCGGGTAGCTGCTAGAGAAGTCCATCGATTATTCAAAGAAGTTCGAGACGACTGAACAGCTACACGACCTCAATCAAGATCTATGCAACGAGATCGTCCAGACAGCGCTGGAGTACTACGGAATCTCACATGAGGACCTAGCTGCGCACAGCAAGGCAAAAGATGCTGCGAATCAACTTGCAGATCGAGTCAGCGTTTCTCAGGCTTTGAAACATTTTGTGAGAGACTGGTCTACATCGGGCCGAGGAGAGCGGGAGGACGCGTTCCCTTGCATTCTGAGCACTATGGAGTCTCTCTTTTCAGAACGGTCGGAAGCGGGTGTCAAAGTTTTGCTACCAGGCTCCGGGCTTGGCCGCTCGGGCCACGAGATCGCTTCTCTGGGTGGCTTTGAGGTTACTGTCAACGAATGGTCTATGTTCATGAACCTGGCGTATCGTTTCCTCGAGGGACATCCGAAGGCAGGAGCCAAGTCGGTTCACCCGTTCGTAGACAGCTGGTCTCATCATGCGACGAACGCGGACATGTTTCGCGGTGTCTCTTTCCCCGACCGCCGAGTGAACGCTAGCTCCGTGTTACTTATCGAAGGCGACTTCGTGTCTGAGTTCAAGAACCACAAACAGCAATATGACGCGGTGGTTACCCATTTCTTCATCGACACCGCCAGAAATGCCATGAGCTACTTTGATACGATTCACGCCACGCTCAAGAAAGGAGGGTACTGGGTCAACTTTGGGCCCCTACTATGGGGTACAGGGCCATTTGTGCAATTGTCTCTTGACGAAATTGTGCTCATTTCTAAGGAAATGGGGTTCGAGTTCGTGGAAGCCAGTGAATCTTGCGGAGATGTGACACTAGAAGGAGAAAGGATCAGAGGGAAACAGGCTGTTTACGGATTCAATGACAAAGCCTTGACACGGAACGCTTACTCGGCTCAGTTCTGGGTGGCGAAAAAGTTATGATAATTCAGCTTGGCTACTGTATATGCATGAATTGACATCCTGCTACCCATTCCATATCAATAAATAGAACGATTAGTGTTCATTAAGATGGAACCAAACCCACAATCTTGGTTAAAGTTGCTGCCAAATTTTCGATTCTGAACTAGCGACAGTGAACTTGACGCCAGAAGGGTGAATATGGATAGCAAGCGGCGGTCGATCCGCTGCTCAGCTATGAAGTACGATGTAATCTTCAAAACATACTTCGTAGCAGCTAGCGGTATGGTATTGAAAACTCAGTGCTCCCATAAAAAGACATCCATGTCGTTTTACCAGACACCATGGACCTTGGAGCCAGTGTCCACCGTAGGGAAGGCGGGGTTTCCCAGGGCCGCCGCTACGGCTGCCGCCCTCCTTCCTGCTCGCATGTTGCCCTCTCCAACCAATCACCGAAGAGGCTTCGCTAGCCACCGCTGTAGCGAGCCAATGGTCGGAGGACTGTGCCGATGTGCGCGGATCCGTGCTGCGGTGGTCCGTACGCCTTACGGCGTCAGGGCGGAAGATCCGGTTTTTTGATCCGGCCCGAGCTGCCCGGGCCGGGGCGCACTGGAGAAGTGGAGGCCTTGTCGCTAAATCCGTCTCGGCAGATAGTTCCAATTGGATTGGATGCTTGGCTCTCTTTACCTGGGTTTTTAACTGTTCTAGAAAAAGAAAAATTTGGATTTGCAATATACAGAATTGATTGCCCCAGAAGGGTCTTTGGTCAGAGTCCAGACAGCAGGAAGCCCACCAGGCCGTAATACAAGTACGAATCTCGCAAGGATGCAAAGTTAGGCAACTTCGCGTTCGTATATGTATTTCGCCGTCTTTGCTGCATTGCTGCGGACAGGAACTGCACGCAATTTACGACCCAGTTCCCGACACTTCTGGAATATTTTGTGTGCGTAAGCAAAACTGGTCGCTCAATTGCTGTCGACGCCCTCGGCCTGCCTGTACCAATCGGTCCATCTCCTGGGAAAGTCGATTCTGCTGTCCAGCTGTGTCCTTGAGAATCTTCCTGCGCATTAGGGTAGTTACCATCCTGGACATATGGCGTCGTCCAAACATGCAGCTGCGCAGGGATCACGGTTCGAAGTCAAAGCTCCAGGGGTTTACATCGTGACGTGGTTTTGAGGGCGGTCAAGACAAGCAGCGTCATGTGTACATCTGAATTTTGACGACAGTCCTGTTAGCCGGCTCCTTCTATAGCACACGTGTCCAAGACCTTTCTCGAATTCCTCCTGAGACATTATTAGTGGCTTCGGGCTCTCTCGAGAAGCAGATAGCGCAGCCTGATCCCTTTCTCTCCTTCACCGCCGACGCTCACGCCCTTGTCAAAACTGTCCCACGTGGCCTTCAGCATGGCCGCGCTGAAAGATCCATTAATCTACAAGGCCATTGCCACCGATGTGCCTCGATTGGGTCTTTTTAGGCAGGATGCAGCCGTTTGGAGGTGTTGTGCTCAGCAGACGTTGAATGCTGAGATCGAACAAGCCATACGCTACCTTAGCCACGGTTGACTTCAATTCCCCATTGAATGTGGGCATGTTGTGATTTCGAAAACAATCAACAAACATCCCTCTTTGTCGACATCCGGACCTCTTTCGACCACCTGCGGTGCGAGCGCTTAGGCAAGGCTAAGGCATCAATCTCTTGCTCCATTGGCCAGTGGCTTACCCCACTGAGTCCGCTTCGTTCAGCAGTTGGCGGCCAGGTGTATCGAAAGAAGCGACTCCAGCCCCCCTCATACCGCCATGAAGCTTTTGAAATTCCAAGAACGTAACATGTCCACCGATGACCAGCCGGTGATTGAGGTATTTGACACAACCGCGGCCGAGAATGAAAGACCTCAATCACCGGCTGGCACTCGGTGGACATGGTCCCCCGCAGGCGAGATCAACTCGGGCGGGCAGATCGTACACGACCAAATCAGATTCAGCGGCGGTGTGGTGCAATCCTATGAACCTGATTTGGTGGTGTACGATCCGCCTGCCAGCTCCAGGGCTCCCGACTCCATCCTGGTGCCTCCGGTTCCTTCGCGACACTGTCTATTGTTCGACTCGATTCGCCTCGAATGGTTTCGATATATCCAATGCGGCAGTGGGTATCAGGCTAGTCCCGACCAGGCAGAAGAGCCTCATACTTGTCAAGACTTGCTATGCCCCTGCGTCGGTCATTATGAGCGCGGCCCGAAGCGTCGTCAGGTGTATCTCTGGCAATGTGTAGGTATCTCGATCGTGAAATCGGCATCGCTGATGGTCGAGCAGTGCCAATGTGGCTGGGCAGGAATGCCTATTCGTTCGGAGTCATGCAACTCGTGTGGGAATCTCCGTTGCGCTTACTGTCCGGTCTCGAAAGTGAGGATCTAGGAGACCGGCAGTCAGTGACATTCCTCTAGTTCACGCGTGGGTTAAGCCAGATTAACCTTCTCCTGGGGGGCTGACAAGGGGAAACACGACAGTCAAGATTGCCATTTGCTGACGGCTCGCAAAATAGTCATACCCAGCCTGTCCAGACGAAGCCCTGCAGCGAATCCAAGAACGGCCGACATCATAGACCGAATGGGAGTTTGGGACGACGAGTTGGGTCGACGGTTCGGTTCGCGTCAGGAGTTTATGGCGGAGGCTGAAGCAGGCGAGATCGAGGTGAAGATGTAGTAGGCAGGAACTTTGAGCGAAGGAGACAGAGAGAAATCGATTGAGAAAGCGTGTCGATGACAGACGTGTAGGGCGGATGGATTAGGCCGACAGGGGAGACGTCATGGATGGACACCTAGTGCCAAATGTGAAGTCACGTGCATTGTGGATGAAAGTCAGCACTCTTCAACGCACCAAATTTCAAAGCACATCCGTGTTTCCCCATGTAAAAGCGGTGATTGCGATCATTTAGACCGTCGTCTGGATTAACAGGGCGTGGTGGGACTGCTCCCCAAGAGTGGACCACGCTCGGACGACACGCACAGTGGAGAGTGTGGACGGGAGGTGTGGTCCCTAGGTAATTTGGCTTGCCTTGTCTTCGGGACCATGGGTCCTCATTGGCTCAATTAGTCCTGGGCTGTCATTTGCTCAAGGGAACGAGTAGAAGTACTCTGTACTGTACTTCCGGTTGAACGTGGCTTTTACCGGGTTTATGAACGTTGTTCCGTATGTGTGGTCCAATCCCTGCGTCAACCGTCAGCGCATGACGCGAACGGAATTGGAATTTCGGTGAGGGTTTCCGGAATCCTTTCGTAGACACCCCAAATCACTCTAACCTCGGGCATGGGTCAATAAGTCGCTTTGGAAGACCTCCATTCACAGGCTGGCCCGTTGATGCCCGATTAATTCATTTCGAGGTCTTCGGGGCTGAGATCCCAAGGAAGACGCAGTAATATGGGGCTTAGGGCGGCGATTTATCTCTCGGCCAACTGTGAGGTGTCCGAAGTCTGAGAAAAGTGCAAAAGCACTGCTATCGTGTCAGAGTTCCATTTGCTCTATTCACCAAATATAGTTGCCTGGTATGGCCGCCTTGAATATTCCAAGGCTTTGAAGAGAGATTCATCGCTCCCGATCGCGGTCAGTCAGCTTGTGCGGTGGGTGTTGATGAAGATGCAACGCCCAATAAAAAGGGCTTGATATCCGAGGCTGTTTTTCTATGGTGTCTCTGCACCCCTCATCGTCACATTTACCTCCCTTTGATCTGCAACAGCACCCAGCCAGATGGGTCGAGGAAATAATCCCACCTGACACTCATGTCCTCTAGGGTATCTATGCAGCACATACGTCCGAATACAGTAGTTGCAGCCATGAAGTTGCTGTCGCCTCACGTCTTATTGGCCATGACGCAGCGGAATACCCGAACCTGTGATTTTCCAACTGGAGTGATGGTCATGCTGCATGGCTGCAAAGCATTCCGGCAGAGCGTGCGTGAAGAAGTGACGCATCGTGCATCTCGTTGCCTCCCTGCAGCTGGGGCATGTGGTGAGTTTCCGATGGATGCTATATTAGGATCAGTACTCCTTTGCATCTCCTAGCCGTTGGTATCGTGAGTTTTCACACCTAGGTGATGTGACAAGTGACACAATCATTGCAAATCTTTCTAGTGTTCGCGTTATGATGATCTTGCGATGGATCGGCAATCACCGCGTTCTCTTGCGCGCCGGCCTTTCAGGTGGACACGTTCAGGGCCCTCTCCCGACTCCGGAGGCCCGTCTCGTATCGATATTCACACACTCGCGAGAGAGGCTGTACAAGAGGCCACGACTGAGACCTTGCTAGAACAATTTCTCGACACTGCGGACTCTTCGGCGAGGCCGAAATATGAACTTCCAGTCTTCAACCGTATTTTTGGGAAGACAGATCTGGAGAGAATCCGCATCGGCTGGCTTAAGAATCCAATGAATACTACCGCATGGATTCACGACAGAAGCCGCGACAATATCCCTCGCTCCAGCAATGGTCCCTTGAGCACAGAAATGTTCCACCGAATAACAGAGGAAAAGGCAGGTCGATTATAGACAACATGGATCTAGCATGTCGAATATGTGGCTGACTGCTCCTTTGATAGCGTTTCAACAGAACCGAAGATATTGCCGATGCAGATACAAGAAGGATGTTAGTATATTATAAATTCTGAGATGACAAGACAGTGTTTCTGACCGTTTGAGATATCTGCCTAATCCAGGTCCTGATGTCCTTGGAATCCTAGCTCTAAGGGCATCTGAAGATCAGACTCCGGTCATCAGGAGACTAATATTCAAGCATCTTACAGCAGACACCACCATCGGCCTGCGTATAAAGGTAATTCCAATGACACAGATACATGAGCAAAGTACTTACGGCTGATGACCTTGTCTTAGCTTCTGCAATTTCAGCTCGAGTTCCACATGCCCTACTACGCCTGGCGTAGAGAAAGACCACTTCAAAAGGACTCGCGTCAAACAACTAATGGCATTCCACTCAGAGAAGTTATTGATCTTGACTTTTTGTCTGGACCACAGACCG